CCCCACCCCTAATGTCTTGTACACACATTTAACACAACTTGTGACACAAAGCTTGCCTGCTACTGTCACAGCTAAAAAGACATGAAAAGATTTACAAAACTAATAAAGGAGTGTGAAAAAGAAACTAATGAATCACTGCAGGCTGGATCATCCACTAACTCAGGTAACTGTGATCCAACTTCCACTTGCATCACGTTATTTTTTTTAACTTACTTTGAGATTTAATATTACTTAATCTAGCCTGCAGGTCTATGAAGTGCAAAGAGTGCCAAAATCAAAGTAAATGCATTATTAAAAAAATGAATTACAGGTCTCAATAAATCATTAAAATAGGAGTCAAATATTCAATCATATATTTAATAATAATAATATTTAATTTCATATATAAGTAATCAATTCCATAAACCTGTAATCAATTAATACAAATAGTATTTGTTATGTTTAATTATTTCACTAATATTTCATGGTTCATGGCTACGAGTTATTACCATCTAATAGTTTATCCTGCACAGCATATTAAGACAGACTGATCCCAGGTAATAGACTGATGCAAGGGACTCGGCGCAGCAGGAATGTATTTAGAATGAAATCATAATTGTCTGTGACGGAGCAAAACACCCGAAACTGCAAGAAAAATTTGAAACTGTCCATTTCTGGGTCACCAAATACTCAATTTATTTATATATCGCCAAATCACAACAACAGTTGCCTCAAGGATCTTTATATTGTACGTGTTACACTGCTGAAATGATGGGCCAACTTATCTCCCGTGCAACATATTTATTTTTACAGAAAACTGTAAAGACAGAAAAATGTCTGATTAATCGGTTCTTTCGGCGCGCGCTGCCTCTTCACCACTGACACACTTCTTCTAGTGTCGACAACATTACTTTATACAAGTAACTTATACAGTTTCATATTCATATGCACCACTTCTGTAAACTGCTTAAATCACACAAATACATTTTACTATACGCATGAATAACATAGTGAACTCTCATTAGTTTTATCTCGTTTTTACTACTGTTTTAATCTATTTATGAACCTGTCTTATTAATTGTATTTAATAAACTAGATCTCTTTCAAATAAATGTTTTTCTTAACATATTTTTATAGCATTCACTCTTCATGAACTAAACATAAAGCAACTTGCATTTCTCTTATTGTGCAAAACATATATATTGTGATTTTAACCAAAAATACCTGCACCGAGCTCACAAGCTTTCGGTACAGTCTAACACTTGGATCGGCACAGGCTAAC